TTGCGGGGAGTGCCAAGAGCGATCCAGATCTGCCTTTCATCGCAAAATTCGGACTTACTAATACCCCGGTGAACCGTTTTTCTCTTACGAGAAAATAGGCCTCCTGGCGGATTGTTTAAACAATTTCCGTTTGCTCGTGCAAAGGTCGCTGTCTGTGGCGCTCTCGCGGGGGTTGCTTGCACTATGGGTAGCCCTTGTTCAGGCGCTGCGCCGTACAAATGTGGCGCGCGCGAGGCGGCGCGTACTTGTGTCGGTATAGCCGTACCGCCACAACATCAATTAATGTGGCAATAAATATATTTTGTTCTTTGTTAAGTAAGTGCTTTGGAATGTATAAATTTTCTTTCGTGTTATGTATTTTTTTTGACGTCCTATTATATATTTTTTGTGCCATTTGACTATAGCTTCATCCACGCTAATACCCTTTTCTTCTAAGCAGGAAGCTAACTTAACGCCCGTAGTAGTTAAAAAATGGCGCCATTTTTCTCGCCGTGTTTTCATCGTCTTGTACTCGCTTTCACTCATATGGGCATCTTCTATTGATTGTATTATTAATCGTAGATGGATGGATCCAATCCAGTTAATAAACTCTCTTGGCAATTTCTAAAAAGTAAATATGAAAAATAAAAATTAAAAAATTTGTAAATTTTAATATTAAATAGAATATTTATAACTTACCTTTAGAACGTCAACCTTTTGCTTTAATTTTCATTTGCTTTTGTTTTTCGAATCGTTTAATTAAACATAGTTATGGTCGGAATTTCTTTTTTTTTTATTGTGGAAAGAAGATGTAAGTAATTTGAAAAGCGGTGTATTCATTCGAGTTCTTGGTATATGCATAAACGTTTTGGTTTGATTTAATAACTTGTCAAAGTTACTAGAAACATTTTTGTTTGATTTAATAATTTGTTAAAGTTATTAAAAATAATTTGATTCATTGGTCTGTTAATCGGAGTTCTTGGTATACGCATAAACATTTTGGTTTGATTTAATAACTTGTTAAAGTTACTGCTCAAAGAACTATTTAACGTGATGGCCGGAGAGTTATTGGCTCCGCTCGCACCACGAAATCCGGGGCAATGTCCTGGTGTAACGCAGGGGTGTTGATGCGTTGCCCGTCTGCGTCCCCTTCTCGTACGCGTAGGCAGGAAGCTAACTAATTAACGCCCGTAGTAGTTAAAAAATGGCGCCATTTTTCTCGCCGTGTTTTCATCGTCTTGTACTCGCTTCCACTCATATGGGCATCTTCTATTGATTGTATTATCAATCGTAAATGGACGGATCCAATCCAGTTAATAAACTCTCTTGGCAATTTCTAAAAAGTAAATATGAAAAATAAAAATTAAAAAATTTGTAAATTTTAATATTAAATAGAATATTTATAACTTACCTTTAGAACGTCAACCTTTTGCTTTAATTTTCATTTGTTTTTCGAATTGTTTAATTAAACATAGTTATGGTCGGAATTTCTTTTTTTTTTTTGATTGTGGAAAGAAGATGTAAGTAATTTCAAAAGCGGTGAATTCATTCGCATTTTTGATATATGCATCAACATTTTGGTTTGATTTAATAACTTGTCAAAATTACTAGAAACATTTTTGTTTGATTTAATAATTTGTTAAAGTTATTAAAAATAATTTGATTCATTGGTCTGTTAATCGGAGTTTTTGGTATACGCATAAACATTTTGGTTTGATTTAATAACTTGTTAAAGTTACTGCTCAAAGAACTATTTAAGAACATGAACCACTTTTCCCTGCGAGTTTTATGCTCATACTCCTCTCCTCACATGTACTCTTGTTCTATTGCTTTTTATTATTATGTATCGAATGTGCATGGATCCGATGCAGTATACGAAGTCTTTTGGCATTTTCTCAAAAATAAATTTAAAAAATAAAAATTAAAAAATTTGTAAATTTGAATATTAAATAGAATATTTATAACTTATCTTTAGAGCGTCAACCTTTTGCTTTAATTTTCATTTGCTTTTGTTTTTCGAATCGTTTAATTAAACATAGTTATGGTCGGAATTTCTTTTTTTTTTATTGTGGAAAGAAGATGTAAGTAATTTGAAAAGGATCGGAAGAGCACACG